AACTCGTAAAGCATGCAGTGCCGAATATGCTCTTCATCCGCCATCTTCTTAGCCCTAGTTTTGCAACAAAAACCAAACCAAACAAACTTTTTCAAGCAAAACTTGTTAATTGCACTTCACACGTTCTGTAGATACCACGTGTTTGAAGGTTCTGTCAATACAAGTCAACACCAAGCAAGATTTTAAACGAATGTTAAAAAACAACATTAATTATTACTAGACCCGATAGCTTTGTATCTGTTATTGTGATGCCTCCGTCTTTGTTCTTCTTTCTCAAAATTGCTGCAGCTATTTGGGGGATTATTTATTTATTTATTTATTTATGTATTCCAGACGAATTTTTGCAGGGTTTGTTCTATGTGTTTGAAGTATGTCATTTGTACGTATTTTAATGATGTTGATTCTACTAATCTATGAACACGGTATATTCTTCTATTTGTTTATGTCTTCCTCTATCTCTTTTCTCAGTGTCCTATAATTTTCTGAGTACAGTTCCTTTACCTCCTTGGTTAAATTTATTCCTAGGTATCTTACTTTTTTTGGTACAATTATAAATGAGATTGATTTTAAATATTTCTTTTTGTGAGTTCATTATTAGTGTATAAAAATGCCATAGACTTCTGGGTGTTAATTTTGTATCCTGCTACATTGCCAAATTCATTTATTAGGGCTAGTAGTTTTTTGATGGAGTCTTTGGGGTTTTCTATGTATAGTATCATGTCATCTGCAAATAAGGACAGTTTTACTTCTCTTTTCCAATTTGGATGCCTTTTATTTCTTCTTATCTGATCACTATGGCTAGCCCTTCCAGTGCTATATTGAACAGGAGTGGTGAAAATGGGCTTTCTTGTCTTGTTCCTGTTCTTAGGGGAAATGATTTTAGTTTTGCCCATTGAGTATGATGTTGGCTGTAGGTTTGTCATATATTGCTTTTATTATGTTGAGATATGGTCCTTTTATTCCAAATTTACTAAGATTTCTTATCAGGAAAGGGTGTTGGATTTTGTCAAATTTTTTTCTGCATCAATTGATATGATTATGTGATTTTTGTCTCTCTGTTTATGTGATAAATTATGGTTATTGATTTGCGGATATTGTATTATCCTTGTATCCCCAGAATAAATCTCACATGGTCATGGTGTATGATGTTTCTAATGTAATGCTGGATCCGATTTGCTAGAATTTTGTTGAGGACTTTAGCATCTACTGTATGTTCACCTGTAATTCTCTTTCTTTGTGGTGGTTTTTTTTTTTGGTGTTTTTTTAAAACCTGGTTTTGGGATTAGGATAATGGTGGCTTAATAGAAACATCTTGTAAGTGTGTCTTCCTCTTGAATTTTTTGGAATAGTCTTGAGAAGTAGAGATTTTAGTTCTTTTTTGAATGGTTGGTAAAACTCCAGTGAAGCCGTCTGGCCCCAGGTTTTTGTTTGCTGGAAGCCTCTGATGACTGCTTCAGCTTCCTCCTTAGTTATGGGCTTGTTGAGATTTTTTGATTCTTCTTGAGTTTTGGAAGTTGGTATTTTTCTAGGAATATGTTCATTTCCTCTAGATTTAGTTTGTTGTAGTAGAGTTGTTCATAGTATTTATTTTATTTATTTTAGTCTTTTACAATCTTTTGTATTTCTGTGGCATCTGTTGTTATTTTGCCCCTTTTATTTCTGATTTTGTTTATTTGGGTACTTTCTCTTTGCTTCTTGGTGAGCCTGGCTAGAAGTTCATCAGTCTTGTTTACCCTTTCAAAGAGCCTGCTCTTGGTTTCATTGATATTTTGTATTGTGCTGGAATCTAATTCCAGCATGTCAGCAGGACTGAATCATCTGGAATGGCTGAGGGTATTTCCACAAACCTGAAAATGATGCATAAATGATTGCTTGCTGCCAGACAGCTGAGGGCATTTTAATCTACATGTTATTGCCTCCTACTGGCCAAATGTCTGAGTAGCCGTAGGCAGTTTCCCGATCTGACAATGGATTCTGTGTACTAAACCTTGGCCTTTTATGTATATATCTACCTTGCCTTAGGGCAATTTGAGTAAGGGCTCCTGAGCCAGAAATAATTTGGTTTCTTTAGCTGAGTCTTCTCTGGCCCCCCAAAATGCCTTCCAAAATTATGTTTCGTCTCTGGATTCTTTAATCATTTACAGCAGCCCCTTCTCCAGATTCCTGAACCCTTCAAGATGCTGGATTAAGACCCCCGGCATTAGCATTGTTTTGTTCTCTATGTCATTTATTTCTACTCTGATCTATCTTGTCTCCTTCCTTCTGCTCACTCTGGGCTTTTCTTGTTGCTCTCTTTCTAATTCTTTAAGTTTTAGAGTTAGATAATTTATTACCAGTTTTTCTTATTGTTGTTTTTTTAGGTAGGCCTGTAATGCTATGAACTTCCCTCTCAGTACCGCTTTCACTGTGTCCCATACGTTTTGGATTGTTGTCTTTTCATTGTCATTTATTTCCAAGATGTTTTTAATTTCTTCTTTGATCTCTTTGGTAACCTTATCATTGTTTAATACAGGCGTCCTCAAACTTTTTAAAGCGGGGGCCAGATCACGGTCCCTCAGAGAGCTGGAGGGCCGGACTATATGAACTACTAATTCCTACTGTAACACCTTGGCTGCGCTCACTGCCCAAAAAACCTGGCGGGCCGGATGTGGCCCATGGGCCGTAGTTTGAAGACCCCTGGATAGCATGCTATTCAGTCTCTAAGTGTTTGAATGTTTTTGATTGTTTTTATTGTAGTTGATTTCTAATATTATGCCATTGTGATCTGAAAGATGCTTGGTAAGATTTTAATCTTAAATTTGGAGAGACTTTGCCTGTGACCCAATATGTGGTCTATCTTTGAAAATGTCCCAGGTGCACTTGAGAAGAATGTATATTCTGTATCTTTGGGGTGAAATGTTCTGAAGATGTCAATTAAATCCATCTGATTTAACACATAATTTAGGATGGCTATCACTCTGCTGATTTTTTGTGTAGAGCATTTATCCAGTGATGTCAGTGGGGTATTTAAGTTCCCTACTATGATCATATTGCTGTTGATCTCTCCCTTGATAGTTTGGAGAATTTTTTTTTTTTAAATGTATTTGGGTTCTGCATTGGGTTCATATATGTTTACCAGAGTTATATCCTGTTGTTGTATCAATACCTTTAGTATTATAATGTGGCCTTCCTTGTCTCTTGTTATGGCCTTCACTCTGAGGCCTGTTTTGTCAGATATAAGTATTTCTACCCCAGCTTTTCTTTTCATTTCCATTTGCCTCAAAGACATTTTTCCATCTTTCCATTTTCAGTCTGTGTGATGGTGGGTCTCTTGCATACAGTATATATATGGGTCATGTTTTCTTATCCATTTAGCCACTCTGTCTTTTGATTGGAGTATTTGGGCCATTGACATTTAAAGTTATTATTTATAGGTACTTGTTTATAGTCATTTTTATTTTTGTTTATTTTAAAAAATATATATTTTATTGATTTTTTTACAGAGAGGAAGGGAGAGGGATAGTTAGAAACATCGATGAGAGAGAAACCTCGATTAGCTGCCTCCTGTACACTCCTCACTGGGGATGTGCCTGCAACCAAGGTACATGCCCTTGACCAGAATCGAACCCAGGACCCTTCAGTCCACAGGTCAATGCTCTATCCACTGAGCCAAATCGGTTTTGGCTAGTCATTTTAATTTTTTGTGCCTGTGTTCTTTTCTTTTTTCTCCTTTTTACAGCAGTCCTTTTAGCATTTCTGCATTGCTGGCTTGGTAGTGATGAACTCAACCTTTTTATTGTCTGTGAAGTTTCTTTTTTCCCCTCACTGTGGGCAGTACTGTTAGGATATATATGTGTATGTATATATGTGTGTATATGTACATACGTACACACATATACATACATACATATAATATGTATATATATGTATAATATGTAACATTTCTCTATAATATTATAAAGAGGTTGGCTTCAGGGCGTGTCTGGTGCATCTCTCCCAGTCCTGATTGGGGTCGATCAGAGCTGGGAAGGTACCACGGGAGGGCTCCAGGGCATGTCCGGCCCGTCTCGCCTAGTCCCAGTCATCCAGACCCAGCAGCAAGATAACCTACCAGTTGGAGCATCTGCCCCCTGGTGGTCACTGTGCATCATAGCAACTGGTCAAATGGTCAAATGAATGGTTGGACTCTTAGCATATTAGGCTTTTATAACTTAGGATAATTTTGAGAAACAATAAATTTAAAAGGGACAGAATTATTTTGATTCCAACATTTACTTTAATTATTTATATTAAAAATACACTGTTATTATTTTTTACTTTTCCATAAAACAGACATTTAGTTGTTTCATAATCCTGAGTCAGTGCTTTTGGGGATCACTGAGGTGATTTACATTCCTCTTTTTAGCAGAGTGCATAAGTTGTAGGTAGTGATCAGTGTTTATTTGATGACTGATTCCGCATCTGAATCTGCAGTTCACCTTGTGTCAAAAGACTCTGCAGTATTAATCGCACTCACAGTTATATACTGAAGGCCATCTTTTCAAAGACTGTGATTCTCCCCAGCCACTTAACAAATTTTAAGTGGCTTTCTCCCTGATTTTAGGTTATGATATGGATTTTGTACCAGGATCCACCCTTGGAGTTTAAGTCAGTAGCTTTAAGAAACATCTGAATCCAGAAGTATACCTAAACTTGTTACGTTAACAATTGCAGCTGTGACCTTAATGGTCACAGAAACTTTGGGTGGTCATGAAGAAAATTTGTTAAGATATTATTCAAGTTTATTTTTGAACAGTTGAAAATCTGAAAGTCAGGTTTATTATAGAAATGACTAGAGGTCTGATGCACCAAATTTGTTCAAGGGATTCGGCCTTGCCGCTGTGGCTTCATCTGGACCATTGTTCTGCTGTTTGGTCTAATTAGCATATTATCTCTTTATTCTATAGGATAAGAATAATGTGATAAAAATACAACACTGAATGAGTTCACTGATTATTAATTAATTTTATTTTTCTGTGCAGGTATAATTGGCCTCCCAAGATCCTGTCTTAGCAAGAAGGAAGTGGAAAAATAATTTTGGAAAAACAATAACAAAGACAATAAGGAAGCCAGTACTTACTTTTACATGGTTGTCAGCTTACCTACCAATATGAACACTCTTCCCACCATTTGTCCTCCTGGTGGAGACAGTGGGTTGACAGATTCTGTACCTGTGTTACAAAAAATGTTAATTGATGAAAGAGTACGATGTGAACAGCATAAAGTTAATTATCAGACTCTGAAAACTGAACACAACAGGTAAAATACTTAAATTTGGAGGTGAGAGGCTTGCATTAAAAAAATTTTTTTGAATGTTTGCTCTGGAATAAATAGTATAATTTTAGCTTTTTACAGTATATGCATTTAAAACTTTAATACAGTAAAATTTTTGCTTTATAATTGCTTTATTCAAAACTAAGTATAATATCAAGTTATGTTATGAACTTATAAAAGTCTTATTTTGAAAGTAGCTAAGACATATATAATTAAATGTATCTGTGTGGCTAAATTGTTTTTCTCCCCAAAGTAAAATTGCTTTCAGAAACTACTGCGTTAATAATTAAATGAAACTCTATAAAGAAAAGATATTTGCAATATTGTTATTTTTAATTCTCACCTGAGGATATTTTTTTCCACTTGATTTTTTTTAAAGAGAGAATGGAGGGGAGGGAGGAGGAGGATAGAGAGAGAGAGAGAGAGAGAAAGAAACATCAATGTGAGAGAGACACATTAATTGGTTGCCTCCTATTCACACTCTGACTAGGGCTGGGCATACAGTCTGCAACCCAGGTATGTGCCCTTGACTGGGAATCGAATCTGTGACTCTTTCCTGAAGGCTGATACACTAACCATTGAACACCCAGCCAGGGCACTATTACAGTTTTAATAGAACATATGATATTGGTCTTCTGTAGTGTTGCTTGACTTTACATACAAAAAATAATGCAGTTAGAAAACAAAGGATACACTTAAAATTGAATTCTTTCATTTTTAAAAATCAGATTGCAAGATGAGTACACAAAGTCACAAAATGAACTCAAATACCTGTTAAATGAAAAGCAAACTAACCAGGAAAAATTCCAGCTTCTGTTTGAAGAACTAAGAGGAGAATTATTAGAGAAAACTAAAGACTTAGAAGAAATAAAGTTGCAGGTAACAAAATGTATTTGAGTTAATATAAAAATTATCAGATGTTTTGTGGAAGTAGTTTGGTGGTATAATTTAATTTTCTTTCTTATAGTCTAGATTTTTGCTACCATTTAGGGTTCAGCCATGAAACTGTTATTTATATAAATTTGTATTCTCTTACCCATTCTGATTTAAATAATATTTCACTATCAAAATAATTGAGGAAAAGACCAGTTTTAATTGATTAAAAATCCAGAATTAAATGTTTTTTAAATAAAGATTTACTAATTCTCTCTTCTTTTTAAAAAAAATATTTATCACTCTGACCTGTGTGGCTCAGTTGGTTGGACTTGTTATCTCCTGCAAATTCTCTGGGGATCAAGCCCACAACCTAGGAATGTGCCCTCATTGGTAATTGAACCAGCCCAAGCTACTAATTTTTTAAAAATTGATTTCAGAGAGAAAGGGAGAGGGAGAGAAAGATAGAAACATCAAAGATGAGAGAGAATCGTTGATTGGCTGCCTCCTACACCCCTCTCCCCACTGGGAATCGAGCCTGCAACCTGGGCATGTGCCCTGGCTGGGAGTTGAACTGTGACCTCCAGGTTCATAGGTTGGCACTCAACCACTGAGCAACCATAGCTAGGTGACTACTAATTTTTTTTTAAGTATTGTAACTGAAACTAAGCTAATTACAACACTGTTTTTTGTTTTGTTTTAAAGTTTTTTAAAAGACACTGTAAAAACATTATGTACACATAATTTATGTCCATAATATAGGGTAGCAAAAGCTAGTTGGTACTAAAGTACTGACTACAGTTTCTTTAGTTTCTTTTTTACACTGTTTTTCATTTGCCTAGAAAGTAGAGCAAGGGCAGAATTCAGCACCAAACATACTATATATTTCAAATTAGTAGGTATTACTAGTGGTATTTTCCTGCATTCATTGAATCTCTGATAGGACCAGCTGTGTATTTCTGCTTATCTAGTGCTTGGTACAAATAATATGGTACTATTTATCTTGGAGTCATAAGTTGATTTTTAAAAACCATCTTTCATGTCATCTAGTATGGCATATCACCTAATTAATGGAGTCCTTTGACAGCAGTGTTGGGAATTTGTCATTCAGCGTCTTCTTGAAATTTTCCATTGTTGGGAACAACAACCATTAAGATTGGGATGAAGCCTTCAGTGTGCTTATAGGTTCATTCCTGGGCATATTTAGGACATTTATACAAAAATAAAAAAATAAAATAAAAACCTCAGAGGAAAATGTAATTTAAGCCATTAGAATTGGTTGATTACTTTGTGTTGCAAAAAATGAGAGGCCTATCTGAATGGAATATGTGAGCACTGAATTCAAGACATTGAAAGTGTTCTTCAGGCATTGCAAACGTAAATTACTCTGTTTCTTAAGAGTAATACCTGCTTATGTTTCTTTTTGCCAAGCACATGAAAACAGTAAACTTCAGAAGCCTGGAGTGGTAATATTAATACCAAATAAAATAGATTTCAAGACTGAGATTATCACTAAATGTAAAAATAACATTTTAATAAGAAAAAAGGGTCAGCTTGCCAAGAAGATGATGACCTTCAACAAATAGCTTTGTTCCTATGCCTTAGTTTTCTCTTGTGTTAAAGAGGATGAAAGCTGTTATCTAACTGGGGTGGTTGTGAGGATTAATGAGATAACTTACATACTAGATACTCATAAATGGTGGCCATTTTATTCTATTGTATTTGAATACAGGTTTCATGAAGGCAGGAACCTTTTTTCATGGTGTTCCCAGTGCTCAAGACAGTGCCTAGAAAGTATTTGTTTAATGAATTACATAAATAAACAATAAATGAATGAATCAGAATTGTTCTGTTCATATGTAATGTTGAACTTATTGTTTTATATGTACCTGGAGTCTCAGCATTTTAGAGTAGATAATTATCTAGTTCACTTTCATATCTGTTATGAGTTGAATTGTCCCCCAAAAAGATATGTTAAAGTTCCAACTCCCATTACTTCAGAATGTGACCTTATTTTGGAAATAAGGTCTTTACAGACGTAGTTAGTTAAGATGAAGTATGGTGTCCTTATACGAAGAGGAGAACAGACACAGAGACAGACAGATACAGGGGTGGGGGAGAGGAACATGGGAAGAATGTCCTGTGATGACAGGAGCAGAGATGGAAGTGCTGTAGCTGCCAACGATCTCCATCACACCGCCAGAAGCTTGGACAGGGCAAGGTGGGACTCACCCTACAGTTTTCAGAGGGAATGTGGCCTGCTGACACCTTTGCACTTCCAGTCTCCAGAACTGTGAAACAATACATTTCTGTTGTTTAAACCATTTAATTTGTGCAATGTTTTATCATAGCCATAGGAAACTAATATACTGTCCAAAGCACAATTGGAACATCAATGACATACAGCTTTTCATTCTCCGCTCCAGTGCTTTCAGTGCTAGAGAACCAATTGAACTTTTAAAGGAACCCAGCTCCATTTATCAATTGGATTATGTTAAGCATTTTCTCTCTCATATTGCAGTGAAATCACCCTCCTTATAGTCTCCCTGTTTGTTCTTATACTGTTCCTTGGATCTACACAAAATACTGGACATTTCTCCACATGATAACTTTCCAAATGTTTGCTGAAAATATAATTTATCTGGTAAAGTTTCTATTTTTTAAGATAAACATACCTGGCTTTTATGTGATATTTGTCTGGCAAAAAATAAGCTAAAGAAATATATGCATTATCTATACATATATTGAAGCAATTTAGCTCTTTGCTTTAATGGATGTTTGCAATTTGTACAAATTGTGATTTGAGTAAAGTTCACTAAACTCGAGTAAAATCAGCAAGAAATATTCAATGAAGGTTATGAAAGATGATTATTTTAAAAATACACATGTATTATCTTATCTACTGCAAAGTGCCTTTTCTGAGTTGCTTTCATATTCCTTTGACTTTTAAAGAATATTTCTGGGATACATGTAGTTGTAGTGAATGAGAGTAATAATAGTTCTTGGCTTATAGGATTGTAAAGATGAAATGAGAAAATTATAGAAAATGTTAGTATAGTGCTTTGATGTAAAAATGATTAGATCATGTTAGCTATTAATTATATTGTTATTATAATATGTATCATGTTAGCAAAAGTTTTTAAAAAAAAGATAGGAGTCATTTGATATATTTCTGGTAAAGGTTTTGAAAAATTACACATGACATAATAAAGACTAGATATACTCCTTGCCTGAAACAAATAAAAAGAATAGATACAAATCAAACAACTATTTTTAAGACACTGGACATTATAAAGTGACAAAGGCCCCAGAAAGAGAAAAATCAAAGAAGGTGAATTTTGCAAATGCTTCCAAGTCATGGCACAGAAGGAATATCAGGCAAATCTGATAGACTCCCTGACACAAGGAGATGGAATTGATTTTAATTGATTAAAATTCTTGATTTTAGTATTTGTGTTCTCATATGTAGAGAGTAGTGCGACTAGTCACAAGACAAGGTAGTAGAGAGAAGGGTGACACAGAAAGAAAGTTAATAAAGATGTTCAAAAGAATCCTCTCAGCTCATTCTGTAGAAGAATGATCAGCACATGCATGTAAGGGAAATATCTAAGGCCTGGAAAAGAGCCACCTGAAAGGATTAGCGACATGTCTGTATGGAGTTCAGCTCTGCATATTTCCTTTCCCCAAAGCCAGGCTAAAGAACTTCATTTCACAGAGAAATGAGTACAGTACTCAGAAGGGTCTCTGCCGTGGGAAGTAATTAGCACTACACTAAACACTAATTTGCTCACACTTAAATCTTAAGAGCAAGATCCAGAAAGATGAGACTGTTTTCAAGTAAATGTCTCCCAGAACAAAACTCAAGAATATCAGAATACAAATATATCTAGCACTCAGCAAAGTAAAATTTACAATGTCTAGCATCCAACAGAATTTTACCAGACATGGAATAAACAGGAGAATACTATCCACAACAAATAGGAAAAGAAAGTCAAACAGCCAAAATCAAACCTGGTGTGGTACAAATATTAGAAATAACAGAGACATTAAAATAATTATTATAATTGAATTCCATGTCTTCAAAAGTGAGATTAAAGATTGACCATTTAAGTAGAAATAGGGAAGATATAAAAAGACTAAAATATGAAAAGACTTAATAAAATACAAACTATAATTATTGAGATGAAAAATATGCTGTATGGACTTAATGGCAGATTAGACAATGTAGAAGAAAAAAATCAGTAAACTTGGAAGACATGACAATAAAAACTACTCAAAATGAAACAAGAAGACAAAAGAGATTAAAAATAAACATAACATCAGTGAGCTATGGAATAAATTTAAGTGACCTAATATTTGAATGTTTTATATACAGGATGGGGCAAAAGTAGGTTTACAGTTGTGAGGACACAAAACACTGGGTTTATTATTGTACTAGAGGCTCAGTGCAAGAAAATTCATGCACTGGAGGGGGGGAGGGTCCCTTAGCCTGGCCTGCCCCCTCTTACAGTCCAGGATCCCTCAGGGGAGGGAGGCAATCGGGAAGGCAAAGTCCCCATCACACCTCTGCTGCTGACACTACTGGAAGAGCAAACCTTGGCCGGTCCTGGTTACCTGAGCCTCATGCAGCCCTGGGCGGCTGAGCAGCCGCCATCGGAGACTTGTCTGCATCATAGGCCGGCCCTGGGTGGCTGGGTAGCTGTCATCCAAGGCTTGCCTGCTCCTCAGGTCGGCTCTGGGGGCTGAGGGGACTTTGGGTCTCCGGAGGCAGGTGCGCCACCGTACTGTGGCTATGGGCACCGCCATCTTTGAGGGCATGGCAGTTAATTAGCATATTCCCTCATTGTCTGGGTGCCACCATCTTTTAGGGTATGGCAGTTAGCGTATTTCCTCCTTATTGGCTGTGAGCACTACCATCTTTGAGAGGGTGTGATGATCAATTAGCATATTCCTTCTTCATTAGATAGGATTTTTTGTATGGTTTGCCATACTAACTATAAACCTATTTTTGCTTCGTTCTGTATAGTAGGCATTCAGTAAAATATTTGGAAATTTGGATATTGATGAATAAATAAATGAATGAATTTAGCTGAATATTATTCTTATTTTTTCTTTTTTCTTTATTGATTAAGGTATTTCATATGTGTCCTTATTGCCTATTCTTATTTTTTTCAGAATTAATATAAAAGCAAACTAAATATATATATTTTTTAATATATTTTATTGATTTTTCACAGAGAGGAAGAGAGAGGGATAGTTAGAAACATCGATGAGAGAGAATCATCGATCAGCTGCCTTTTGCACACCCCCCACTGGGGATGAGCCTGCAACCAAGGTACATGCCCTTGACTGGAATCGAACCCGGGACCTTTCAGTCCACAGGCCGACGCTCTATCCACTGAGCCAAACCGGCCCCTGCTAAAAGCAAACTAAATATTTTTTTTAACAACCAATATTTATTCATTCAAGAAATAATAATTGAGTGGTTCTTATGTGCTAGGCAGTGATGCAAGGTATTGGGAATATCATGGTGAATGAAATATTTAATTACTTTTTCAAAGATAAGTTTTGTAAAAGAGTATGACAAGGAGGAGCCTAAATTAGTTTTTTATAACCAGCATAGAAATCAGCCTTTTTTCTGATTGTAAATAAGTCTGAAAAATTCTCTCTGGCATACTAAATTATTACATCTTAATTTTGTTTGCTTTAGAAAATAAACTACCAGCCATTGTATACAACATGATAAACTTAGCTGCTAACATAGTTATTTTTAATAATCGCAGCGGTAATCAGTGATTGTCTTTACCTCATGTTAATGGAATTTTTGACATCTGTGAGAGCCTGAAAATGAGATTCTTAAATTATTATTTATATAATGACTGCTCTAAAATTAGGTATATTGTAAAATTACTTTGAATTACATTTTATTGTCATAATGAGGAGAGAGGTTTTGAAATTTGACAAATTCTTGATTTTAATATTTGTTTTTTCATAGTTTGAATTGTTTGTATTTCTCTGCATATTAGGTATTAACTCCACAAAACTTGGAATTGTTCAGAGCCCAAATACGACAAGAATTAGAAACTCCAATGAGAGAGCGTTTTAGGAGTCTGGATGAAGTAAGTAATTTATGCAGAAAGAACTAGGCATATATCATCATGTGACTATGAAGAGCTTGATGAAAAGTGTCTTCCTCTATGCAGAAGCCCTGCAATAGCTTCCTTTCTTACTCAGTTCTTACAGTGGCCTTTAAGGCTGCACAGGATCAGACCCCATTACTTCTCTTATTTTCTTTTCTCCATCCAAACTGGCATCCTTGATGTTTCTTTGGCATTCTAGAAATGGTGTCATTCCAGAGTCTTTGCTGTAACAATTGCTTTTGCCTTGAACACCCTCCAGGTATCTTTTGGTCAACTTAACATCTCCTTCTCAATGAGGCCTACTTTGATTACTCCCTGCCTCCATTTAATGTTATAACTTGCCTTTTCCATTACTCCTAAGACCTTTGGATCCCCATTTACCCTGCTCTACATTTTTATTTTCTCAAGTACTTACTATATTTTAATACTCATTGTGCTTATTTTTTATATTATCTTTTACCACTTTTTGCATGAGTGCAGAAACTTTATCTGTTTTTTGTTTGTTTGTTTGATTTTTACACTGTACTAGGATAGAATGAACCACCTCGGTAGCTTCTATATTTGTTGAATGAAAGAATGAATTTCATGCAACCTCAGAAAAGTAAAAAAAATTGATGTAGTTTTCTTTCAGATTGCAACAAGTCTCCTTAAATGAAACTTTGGTGTTATATGACTAAATGTTTAATAAAGGGGACAGGAAAAGATGATAGATATTAAGTATAGTAGATACTAAACTCGACATTTATTTAACAAATATACTGAGCAGTGTACATATAAATGTGTATTGTCCCCTTCAAAATGGACCTCTTTAGGGAGCTATAGTCTAGTGATGTTGCCATTGCTCAAAATAGTTGTAGATCCTGTTTTATAAATCACCAGTTGCCAACCTTTTGGACCTCATGAACCACCGGTGGTCCACAGACCACCGCTTGGCAACTGCTGCTCCAAAGGTTTCCTTAAACTAGTAGTCGCCAAACTTTTGGACCTCATGACCACTGGGTTGGCGATCACTGTTATTAATTGTCTTGACAGTCACTTTTTGAATATTTTCCTAATCAAAGCAGTATGCTGAATAGGTTTCATTTTTGGATATAAACAAAATTACTTAGACTTAAGTAGGTAATTCAGTTAAGTAAAAGCATATTTAAAAATACCAAAACTAATGTCTCTAATAAAATCACAGATAACCATATCCTTTGTTTGTAAATTGTTTGGAAATCTTTAAATTGAAGATTTCAGGGAGCTGAATATTTTAGGAGGCTTCTTTATTACTTAACTAGAGGCCTGGTGCATGGATTTGTGCACCAGTGAGATCCCTTGGCATGGCCTGTAGTGATCGGGCTGAAACCGGCAGTCCAATGCTGCCTGCCTCTCCTGCCTGCTGCTCTTGCTTATTGCAGCCTCCCTACGACCGCAGGCTTGCGCCCAGTCAGTTTGATCATGCAAGGGGAGTGTCAGTGGAGAGGCTTGCACCGCTGCAGTTGCCATTGCCAACCATTAGTAAAGTGTCTGGCACCTGTTAGTCACCCACTGTGGGAGTGCACTGACCATCAGGGGTCAGCTTCTGCATTGAGCATCTCCCCTCTGGTGGTCAGTGTGTGTCATAGCAACCAGTTGACCAGTCATTTGGTCACTTAGTTGCTTAGACTTTATAGATTTTTTTTGGAATATGTTGAAATAATGTCTCCATCTTTCTATTCTGTTGTCTTAAGTTCTTACTGAGATTCAGAATGCCAGCAACTTTCATAGTGTCAGGAAGAGGAGCTGGACTATACTAGAGAATTGCATGTGTTCCTTGTGAGTAAGGAGAGTTGGTGCTTCATACATTCTTCAAACTGATGTGTTTAATTTATATTATTGTAATATTTGATTGAAACTTAAGTTATTGTACTAAATAGCCAAATAATCTTTTATCTACTTTGAATTTATTATGTCTGACATTTAGGAGGTATTTTATGTGTTATCATAAAATTAATTTTTAACCTAACTATATATTAAAAGGTGTATTACATTCTTAAATATTATTTTATTAAATCCAGAGGTCAAAACTTTTGACATGTTAAACATTTTTATTATTATGAGAATCAGTGATTAAATAAGGTTAATTGAATAATTATCTTTATTAGTGTCTTCTCAGGAATGTACTAATTCTGTGTGTAGCATCCTAGTTATCAGAACTTTTCCAAGATTTATTTATACTTCTCTTAAGCTTATTTTTTTATTTTTAGAATTACTCTGAATATAATGTAATTTAAAATTATATTTACAAAAGTAATTTTTGGAATGATTACAAAATTCATTCATAAATTCATTCATAAAAGTCTCCTTTTAATTTAGGAAGTTGAAAACTATAGAGCCAAATATAATAAGCTTCGCTATGAACATACATTTCTCAAGTCAGAGTTCGAACACCAGAAAGGAGGATTTGAACGTATTTTAGAAGAAGAAAAAATAAAATATGAATCAGAGGTGAGTGATTAATTATACTAGTTTAGTTGTTAGCTTCCTAGTAAACAAAATTTTATGATTATATATTTTTTTGTAAATCTCAAGTTAGAGTTGATTACATAATTAGTTTAATTAATTTGTTATGGTTTTCATCTGCTCTATATCAATATTTTTTTGTGAATGTTCTTTTTTTGGCTGTTAAATTTTTCCATTCTTTGCAACGTTTATTTTGCCCCAGTCCGTGGCGATAGTCAGTCTCTTTCCTTCCATAGCCACAGAGAAAGGCTTCTCTCTCTGCAAATATAGTTTGTCTACATGATTCCTTATTTAGAATGCCCCCATCTCTTTCTTGGAACCATACTACATCTCTGAGAGTTCTGATGGTCAGTTAATGCACTTTTTCCACTGCTACAAACAAAGGGTTTATATCTTAGGGTGTGCCTCTCATCTTCAGGAAGTGTACTTTGTTCTTTGACAACTGCAATGGCAGCATCCTCTCCCTGCTCCCTATAGCATTCACTCCTACTCTGTCTCTACTCATTTTGGGTTTTGTCTCCCTATTTCCAAAAATGGGGTTTGTGTTTCTCATTCTTTATGTTACTTTTAGATTTTTTCTCAGGGTGTAAAGAGAGAAATACCAATTTCTTATTTCAAATAAGAAGCCTAATACTAGTTGAATTAAAAAAAAGTAGTTTGTTTTCTGTAGTTACATGAAACATTTCATGTATAAATACATTTGCATTTTACATATATTGCATTGCCTTTATTTGGAATCAAGAGTTAAAATATACTCACTTTCCTTTATCAATAACTACTTTGATCAAACTGACATACATGAACAAACTGTTCCACTATTCTTTGATATGTGAGAAGTTGTATGAACTTTGGATCGAGTTCATCAATAACACAGTACCAGAAAACTGTCAATATTTATATTAGTCTATTGCATTTAAAAAATTACTTACAGCTTTAAATGCTTTATTCACATATAATCTCACTTCAGTTATAATGTTCAGTATTATCATTTTATTATTTTCTAATTATTTTAAAATATATTTTTATTGATTTCAGAGAAGAAGGGAGAGGGAAAGAAAAACATCCATGATGAGAGAGTAGGGGTCATGCAGGAGGATTGGCTCCCTCCTGTATGTCCCCTCCTGGGGATTGAGCCTGCATCCGGACATGTGCCTCTCACTCACATCGAACACGAACCCTTCAGTCTGCAGGCGGATGCTCTAGTCACTGAGCAAAACAAGCTAGGGCCAGTGTCTCCATTTTAAAGGAGGCCTCTGAAGCACAAGATAAGTGACTTGCTCAGCCTCAAAGAAAGTCAGCAGCCAAGTTAACAGTAGAAATTAGGTAACCCAACACCTAGCTGGAAATTATAAATTTGAAATAAGCAATGATTTGAAGTTGCTAAGTTAATTAGGAGTCATCTAACAGCTATAATATTGTTAAGAGATAAATAGATCTATACTATGTGTGATGATGGAAGGATTCAAAGGAACTGTAGAATAAGGACCAAATTAGAAGCCTAATTATCAGTTTTGTGCTTTCAGTGCTACAAACTGTAGGTTCTGCAGTTCTATCTAGAATGCTGCTTTAGACTCTGATGGTGCCTTTATCTAAAATACTCCCAAGTTTTCTTCTTTTTAAAAAAATAAATATTATTCAGATTATTACAATTGTTTCTACTTTTTGCGCGCCCCCCCCCCCCATAGCTCCCCTCCACCTCGTCCCCACCCCACCCTCTGTCCTTACCTCCCCTTCTCTCTCTCTGTCTTCATCCATAGGTATATGGTTTTTGTCCAGTCTCTTCCCATATCCCCCACACAGACACTACTTTCTCCCTGAGAATTATCAATCCCCTCCCATTCTATGCTCCTGATTCTATTATATTCACCAGTTTATTCTGTTCCTCAGATTTTTAATTCACTTGACTTTTATATTCACTTGTTGATAGATATGTATTTGTTCATAATTTTTATCTTTACCTTTTTCTTTTCTTTTTCCTCTTTTTAAAGAACACCTTTTTAAAGAACACCTTTTCTTCTTTTTTCTCTTTTTAAAGAACACCTTTTAGCAATGGTTTGGTGGTGATGTACTCCTTTAGCTTTTTCTGATCTGTGAAGCTTTTTATCTGCCCTTTAATTCTGAATGATAACTTTGCTGGGTAGAGTAATCTTGGTTGTAGGTTCTTGCTATTCATCACTTTGAATATTTCTTGCCACTCCAGTCTGGCCTCCATAGTTTCTGTTGAGAAATCAGCTGATAATCGTATGGGTGATACCTTGTAGGTAACTGTTTTTTCTATTGCTGCTTTTAAGATTCTTTGTCTTTTGCTCTTAGCATTTTAATTATGATGTGTATATGGGGGAGGAATTGTTCCCATAGGGCTTTGGTGCTTACTGAGTCTGTCTCTTGAATGTGTCCCTTAGGAGAGTAGTTAAAATATGGTGTCGTCTCACACCAACCACTAGATACACTAGTTTCCGGATCTCCAGTGGGGAGCAATTCAGCTACTTTTTGAGGCAACCCAGCAGGATCTACTGCAAGAACTACAGTTTTCTCCTCTTTGCTTGTGATTTGGTGGTTTTGGAGCTGGAGCTGCAGTTTATTTCCTTAAGCTGCCACAGTACAGGCCATTTATATGCAAAAGCAGCTTTGTGGAACCTGGGCTGGTTTGTAGAATGTATGGGGTGGGGCCTCAGGGCGGGGCGGAGTCTCAAGGTGGGGTGGGGCCTCAGGGTAGGGTGGGGTCTCAGGACATCACTAGGCTGGGGTGTGGCAAATAGCGATGGCTGCGTTCAGCCCCCTCTGCCTTTACTTGTTTCCCAGTCCCCGCATCTCCGCACTCTGGCGCAGTAAATAATGGTTGCTGCGCGTACCTCTGCAAAAAAGTCACCCTCTCTTTGGGACTAGATGGCTGACAGACCAGTTTCTCCCCGTAGGCATCTGGGTTTCCCGCCTGACTCCAGAAACTGGATTTCAAAGTAATCGGGAGCTTGTTTCCCTTCCGGTTGATAAAAAGCCAAGTGCCTAGTCACCCGCCACCAGCCCGATTTGCGTGCCTCCATACCTAAGCTTTTCAGCTTTTCAGCACTTGTGCTCCTTTCTCTTTCAGCCAGCCTTCCCATAGTTCTGGGTGATAGACATTTTGTCTTTTAGTTGTAGTTTTGAAATTCTCGTGAGAGGCGGCAGATTAGTTGTTTACCTACGTCACTATCTTGGCTTTCTACCACTCCCAAGTTTTCTAATTTACACCCTTCTCAGATTACTTTGAGCCATATCACAATAGACAAAGACTCCCAAATTAAAATGGAATTACCTCACAGTACAGATTGTCTGTGATTGATTTTGGCAACATTTTACAAGGGTTTTGTGAAATTTATTAATTAAAATTAAACTGAATGAAGTTTAGAATATCTCAAACGAAGCTTTTTAACATATAAATTTTTAAATGTTTTATTTAGTATGACATTGGAATTGACTTAACTTCTATGTGCATTAATGTCCTCAATTTAAAATGATGTTAGCAATAGAACCTATCTTATGATGTGAGGATTTAATAAGTTCTGCAAAATGCTTAGACAAGTACCAAGCACATAGTAAGCATTCCACAGATGATAACTATTATCATTTAAAATTACATATACTCATATTTCTTAAGCATATGATCCTGTTCTTTAGCATGCTAGAGTTTTCAGTGTCAGATTTATACATAGATACTCTAAATCTTTTGAGGGCATCTCTTATTACAATGTCTGCATCCCCCACCTTCACTGCATTCTGAGTGTTCTACTTTCAGGTACTGTTTGCTCTGACTTTATTTGTCACAGTTATTTTTCTTTTACTACCTCCATGACCAAGGTAATCCTCAGAGCCTGAAAAAGACATATGTCTTTATTTCTATTCTCTTATACAATATGAGTGGAATTCTTTTTTAAAGCCACGGAGTGAAGGAAACGAGATGGCAACTTCAAAAAGTAGATTAAAATATGAACTTTAAATTGAGTAAATTAAATGTTACCTTTATAGTGTAAGTAAATAAAATATTTTTATATTCCATCATTAATTTAGAAAAATTTAATTCAAATACATATAGGGGAATGGGAAAAACTTAGAATAGCAGTAATATAAAAAGGTAAACTAGATTTAAAAAACTCAAATTTGGGAACTTGAAACTTCATGTGTAAAATGTTTCCTATATGCCTGACACATAGTAAAGGCTCAAAAAAGTGGTATTACTATTTGTACTTGATAGCATTAATCATAGTAAAAATTACCATAATAAATACAGAAGATATTTTAAAAATGCACAATACTAATTTGAAGAGAACTACAAAACTCTGATGAATGAAATAAAAAAAACAAATGGAGTGATATTTCATGTTCACGGATACGAAGACTCTGTGAACTGACTTAAGTCAGTTAAGTTAAGCACATAGAAGTTAAGTCAGTTCCCAAAGTCAAGATGTCTGTTCTTCTCAATTTAATTTATATATCAAGTTTAATCCCAATTAAAAACTCGGCAAGTATTTTGTGGATATTAACAAACTGATTCTAAAGTTTATGGTAGAGTCAAAAGACCCAGTGTTGGTAGCCAGTACAATATTACAAAAAAACGAATTTGGAGGACTGACACTACCTAACTTTGTGACTAAACTATTAAGCTATGATAATAAAGACTGTATGCTCTTAGTGAAAAAATAGACAAATAGATCATTAGACAAACCAAAGAGTCTAGAAATACATTTACACAAATATAGTGATCTTTGATGAAGGAGAACTGATTTTTGAGAATAGAGAAAAATAATCTTTGCAACAAATGGTTCTAAAGAAATGTATGTGCCAAAAAAGGAATCTGGATACAGCCCCTTCACAAAAATTAACTCAAAATAGATCTTAGGTCTAAATGTAAAATGTAAAACGTAAAACTACCAAATTCCTGTAAGATAACATAGGGAAAAAACTAGATGAGCTTGAGTTTGTTGATGATCTTTTAGATAAAACACCAAAAA